GTTGGCCTTGATTCATATCAGTGATGTCAACCTTTTACTTCAGACATGCTGGTAGGATTGGACAATATGTGAAGGCAATAATGTGCGTCAGTGCCATGCTAATTGATATGCTAAGGCAACCTTGAGGAGAAGCTAAGCTGCTTCACCTTCACTGCCTTCGATTACATTTTAGAGAGTGATTCATTTTTTAAAATCTTTTCTTTATCTACTTCACATCAAATTTTAAGATCTAATACTATTTTTAGATGGAGTTTTTCTTTCCTCTGTGCTGTAGTGATTTGTCTAGAGATCCAAAGAGACTGATCAAGTAAAATGATAAAAGTCATAACACACTTTCCCTCCTGCTGCTAAATTTCACAGCTCTGAACCTCAATTTTGGTAGACAGCCGAGTTAGTCCTAGTTTGAAATGAATCTGAAACAATAATTTGTATTAATTGTGTTTGATTATTAAAATAATCATAAACTAATTGGGCAATCAAATCATTATCTAGAGTAATAGTACACAGACTCTTAAACAGGAAATTTGCTTAAAGAATAACCTACCTAGCACAGCAGATAAAACATAACTCTACAAAATATAAGCATTTTTTCATTTAAGATGAAGAAAAAAATATATATATAAAATATATATATAAATATATATATATATATATAACCCATTGCACAATTAAAGGTTCTTTATTTCTAAATTCCAAATTTTTATTAAATTAGAAATGTTAATGTACTGAAAGTATTTATTTTTAGATTAATTGATTAATCGATCAACTGATTACTAAAAGAATCCATGGTTTCTAGTTTTTTAGGGTGCATTCTGCAGAAACCCTTTTCATTCCTATCAAGGTGAATCCAAATGAAATACAGGGATGTTTTGTTCCACTGGGCCCTTTACTATGATTACTTATGTCCATGTAAACGTCTATATTTATGATAAGAACCACAATCTAATCTGATGCACATTTCTTTATTGATCTTGTTGTTAAAAGTACAATATAAAATCAAAAGTTTAACAAAGTATTTCCACCAACTATTGCTCATGTCTCTTTTTAAGCAACCTTTTCAAACCTTTTCTTTATGATACATTCATTAAATATTTCATTTTGAATTGCTTGACATTAGTTTTAGCAAATAAACAGTCATTTCCATTGGTTACTGATTTTTTAATTTTTTTTTTTAATCACTAGTATTACCGGTAATCTGTCAAGACCATAATGCTTTGTATTTTCGATTTGGTTTCAGAAAGTACTGAAGAAACTCTGTGACACTCATGAAATGCTTTGAAATACATATATGTGTCGGACCAGTATCTGAAGAATATCTGAAGATAATTATAGTGAATTATGATAAAAATAATTCTGAATATTTTTAACAAGCAGCCTGTATTATTGCCATCTGGCTTATATTGTGTTTTTACGTAATGTGAACAAACATGTTTTCTCCACAGATTCATTTGGGTAAGAAACAACTTGGTGCACAAAAATCCCAAGAACTTAGAAGAACTTAGAAGAAAGTATTATGCTTATAGATCTCAGTAGGAGGCCCTGCTTAATGCTCTCCCCCAGCGTTCAGGCGACACATGCTCATGCTTTGAAAGGATACCAGAAGGGATGCAGGATGAGATTCAGGAAGATGGAACTACACATGAGAGACATTGGCTTTGATTTTGTATTTTATTTAATTATTATTATTTTTTTTTTTTTTTTTTTTACAAATCTACCTTCTTCAAGTCGTATACCTGCCTCAAAGATCCTTAGTGCTGTTACAGAACAGCCAGAGATTATTTATTAGCATTGCTGCTGACATTACCAGTTCCTGGATTCTCTAATTGGGTTGTGATGTAGTCTTTTCAGGAAAAAAAAAAAACAGGTTTCGCCTCCAGATTGGCTTTGCTTTTAAGTTTCTTTAGGCTGAATTCCTGTTATAGAAAATGAGTTGCTATTTCCTTTTCAAAAATGTGAAACATTCAAGGTTTAATATTAGTCATAATGCATTTGCTGGCTTTTGAGAAATCAAGAACATGTCAGTGTTAGATTTTGTTAGCTTCAGGAATTTTTTTCCCCCTTTAAATTGTGTCAAGTTGAACCATGCAGTAACAGAAGGAAGTCCTGCTGGTTTCTTTTCTACAGCATCTATTTAAAGTGCGTAGTTAATGACCACATTTTATGAAGTGATCAATATGCCGTCTTTGATCTGGTGATTTATCAGCGTCTTTAATTTAATAATGTCTTTCCCGTGGGGATGGAAATGACTCAGTTACATAAATTGCAGAGGAAACCATCCACGTCAAACCTTGCACATAAACACTGATGGATTGGCTGTACATTAATGACCCTGCTATTGAAAAGCCTATAAATTAATCATAGGTGCAATTAAAAATATGCATTTGCCTTCTGGTATTAATTTATAGTGCATCAGTGTCAAAATCTAAGAGTTCAATAATACACTTGTTAATTGTGTTTGTTTATGAATTGAACTAAAAGGCTGCTTAGCTTCAATAATTCAAAAGTAATTTATCTTGATTTCTTTTAGTGCATGTAGCCAGCCTCAATTATGACACTCTCATGCTGGCTAGACAATCAGTTCAAATAAATGACTCAATTCCAGAGCTGACACATTTCCTGAACATCATTGTTTCAAAATACTTGTTGAATCAAAAACTTGTGAATAAAAACAACTATAGAGGAAAAGCATTAAATTAGAAATACCCAACAATGGAAAAATAAAATGGTCATTATTGGTTAATGTCTTTAAAAACTTACAAAGTATTAATTCTTGCAAAAAACATTTGTCAAAAATAAAGATAATTTATTGCACTTATGGATAAACCAGTGTAATATTTATCCAACTCCAGTGCAATTCAATTTCTATTTAGTTGTATAGCGTCAATTCACAACATATGTCCTCTCCCGGCACTTCACAGAAACGATTCAACCAGATCATACAGTAAAATTGGTTCAAAGACTTCTATCAATGTCATTGCTTTCTACAAGCAATGACATTGTAGTACTTGCCTACATAGATTACTGATGGAAGGTTAATCATAATTACATTTAATTCAAATCAACAATATGTTATTGAATTATAATTAAATGCAGCAATAACCCAAGGGCAGGTTTTCAATAAGTTATTATGGTTGTTGTTAGCTGTAGGCAGGAAGGATCATCTAGAGAAGCCTCTCACTGAAGACACTTTGTTGTTGTTTAACAATTTTCTGAAGAGGATACTCACTGGTTGCCATGATGTTCTTCACTTTATGAAGAAATATTCTCTGATATTCTCTCCGAACAGAGTCAGCCTTCTGTATTAGCCGCAGATGGTGGCAGAAGAGATCACACTCTGCTCAACAGACTTATAGAAGATATGCAGCATTTTGCTGCAAACGCTGAAGGACCTTAACTTCCTTAAGAAGAACAGTTTGCTCTGTCCCTTTTGTACATGGCTTCGCTGTTGCATCTATCTGATCATATTCTCTGATGTGCTAAGCAGGCAAAGGTGGAGATTTACCTTGAATTGAATAAAGTTGAGATATTGAGCTTGTTTTCTTCTTACTACCTATAACATTTCTTTACATAACTTGCAGTCAGTCTTCCACGAGATTAAGTCTGCCTTGAGTTTTGCTTTCAAAGTTTTCAGAGCATCAAAAACTGCTTACAGACCAGAGTCTGGATGCTGAGCTAAGCTAAGGGATATCCCTATAAATGTGCAGGGGCTTTTTCACTTGGGAGTACCTCCACACCACTGACATGGCTCCTTAATAGTCTGGCTGCTTAAAGTAATTGAGCATTTGACCAGTTAGCATGCTGCTGCTACCACTGCTCCTTCTTCTGCTTCATTTCTTTGGGACATCACTGCTGCTTACTGAGCTGGAATATTCATGTGCATAATTATACAGCCTATTAGAGGGGAAATGATGCTAGTATGTGGTCCTTTACTATCAGAGCACATGTAAAGAGAAAAAAAATTGAACTTTATTGATCTCCCAATGAGAAATAAATTCTCTGCCTTTAACCCATCCCCTTGGGAAGCAGTGGGCTGCCATTGTGCGGCGCCCAGGGACCAGTGTGGGGTTAAGACTCAGAGTGGTAGTCTGTGGGAATGGGGCTCCAACTCAGAACTCTATGCCCTAACCACTAAGCCGCCACTCCCCCAAGATATGAGTATAAGCATATGGAACGGCAACCCTATGTTCCCTCTAGTGCTGTAGTTTCTTGGAACATTTAACTTTTTTTCTTTTTTTTTCAAACTGAGCACAAACTTTTGCATGGTTCAGATCCGTCTTTGTGCTTTAGAGGTATATTTTCCAGCTATTTGTGTAACCAAATACATGACTCATGCTTTACCAAACAATATCTACCCTTTTGCTATTCATAAAAGCAACTGCGGTACAAAGTTTTTTTTTTTTTCCCCGGAATCTGTGCTAAACTGCCAATTACATAATTAATACATAAAATGCAATGTTTTACTTTAATTGGTCATATTTTTCTTATACGTCTTGCTTCTTCGGATTTTTTCATTTTAATATTTACTTTTAAATGTCAAATGCCAGCTTAAGACATTTTTAATCTGAGGAAAATGTAAAGCATATCAAAGAAAATGTAAGGTGCAATTTTTGTTAGGAATAATCTCATTTTAGCTCAGTACTGCTTTGACTATGCTTAGGACCTTCTTCTTTTGAGTAGTGATGACAGCATTGTTGTCACTTAGTTGTCACTTAGACTGGAGTCCCAGAGACTGTGAAACTGCAGAGGATTTTTCCCCCAATTAGTTTGTTCCAAATTATCATTCGTTTGAAAACATCCAGAGCAGTTAATCAGCGCAAAAAATCTCACTCTTCCTATTTAATTTTGTTTAATATTCCAAACAAGAGCATGAGAGAGGAGGCAAACAGTTAGTCTTTGTAGCCATGTCCTTGCATGTCATGCATCTAAAATTCCATATTTGTACGTCATGCATCTTCAAAAATCTTGAAAGTGGGGTTCACATTTCTTCTTTTATGTTTAGGTGCTGAGGAAGCTGCAGGTTGGAAGAAGCAGAGGATCGAACTGTTGGCAGACTATGATGAAGTTGGACGGCATGTTGATCCAGCTGTTTGTTTATTTTTGAAGCATCTGGAGAGGTCAGTCACCATATAGCTGTCTTTGTCACAAATCAGGAATATCTTCAAGGTTCTCCAGGACCGACTAGTTCAGAGAATAGAAGTATGCCTTTTGACTTTGACCTTGTTCTAACATTGACTGTTTTTGTCATTTTAATGAAGTAACACTTTATCTACTACAGCCTCCTTTACATGCAGATATCATCTTGACTTCATTATACAAATTAATTCTTGTATCTTCAAACTGCATGGAAACTGCAGTCTTGTCTGTATGATGAAATACATAAGCATGTCTGTTACTAGGACCCCTAAGCCCTTTATGTTCCTCCTTTGAATCAGTTATGATAGTATAAGAAACTCTGGATCTTTCAACTTGGACAAGGTTCATTAGCTTGTATAACAAAGATAATTGTGTCTGCTGTGGAAGGCCTAAAAATGTCACCATGCAAACATATTAAACTCTTTTTAGAGCCAAACCTCGTTTTACACTCACTGTTTAATAATAATGTTTGGCACAGCTTTGTTTTAATTCTTTGCAGACTAGAATGAAAATTTTTTCTCATTCTGCAGACCAGTCTGTTTTTGTTTTGTCTGGTCATAATATGAATTTGCTATATGCAGATGATTTTAAAGTAGGACGATTCTGCTCACT